TACCTTGATGACTTTTTGCACTCTATCACCACTTATTAACATCATACAATTCTTATGTTAAGTGAGCATGTTGCAAAAAATTTTAGTATCAAAACTGTTGTTTTGTGGTATAGGAGTCCAACAGAGATGAAACTAATAATGATCTATACAGTGTCAATCTGTTCTTCTTGTACTACAATAGGTTTTGGTTTATGCAAGATGTAACACCTAAAAATGATACCAACAATGATACCAATGACAACAATAATTACCGATCCAACTATCAGGCCAATCGTCAATCTTGTTTTTCTTTCTTCTTCCTTAGAAGTTCTGGCAGCGATCCAATCTACAAATAAGAAAATCCAAATGAATAGAATCATGAATAAAAAGAATGCTCAAATGTTTAAATTTAAAAAAGTGTTTTTACTGAGCTCATATCTAGAATGTTCCAATCAAGAATGAATCAACTTGACAACAAAAGGTCACATGACTATTCAGGTGGTTACATGCTTCTACTCTTAAGGGGTCAGGGTTAGCGTCAGAACTAAGAACCCCAAGTCAAAATGAATCATGTTCGCTATTTTTGCTCTACTTTTTGTTTAGTTCTGTTTGATTTTTCTATTCTGTTCTATTCTTCAATAGATCATACAGTTTTTGTGTAAATCATTTCATAATCTTGTACATGTAGTATGTATCATTTGACTTCAATGTTATTGTTTCACCTACCAGCACAATGTATTTTCTGATCTTCTGGATGTTTATCAAGAGTCTTGCAAGACTCGCATGTCCCTATGTGACTATAGCACCAATCTCCTAGAGGGCAGTCTTTCTCTGATATACATGGTCCGCTGTACGTGTTTCTAGCTTCTACCACAGGTGGGGCACTTGTACGAAAAAGGTCTGTTTGTATGAATTAGGAAAGTTTGTGTTTGCATTTGTAAAATGATAGAATCTTTTCAAAGTAAGAGCAAAGAATTTGTTTACACATATGCATTGCTGAGAAACTGAAATATGAAATTGATACACTATCGTGTTTGCTCTATTAGAAACACATTTGCAAAAGAAGCACATTTAAACCCAAAAAATTGGCTGTATAATAATTAAAATATTACTCATTTTGACCATGGAAAATAATTTACCGGTATGTAAGTGCAAGCATATAATTAAAAAAGTATATACAACATAATTAAAGATAGTTCGGTACTATTCACAGTAATGATACAATCTTCTCGTTTAAACAATGCTGTGTATTAAAAAGAATTGACCAGCAGACTACATAATAATCAATCCAAAAATGGCAGCCATGTACAGAACAGCTTTATTAGCATAATCTAAAAATAGCATAGTTACTAAGTAATATAGAGGGCGCTTTTGTCAATGAATTATATTTTGACATGTAATGGAGTAATTTGTCTACTTTAGTTGGATCAACTTTCAGCATAATTGTCAATCTGGAAGTTATGATCACTGGATTGTTCCACACACAACACACTTTTTGTTGTTGGTTGTAACCAGTCTTAAAAAATGCCTCACTGTCACATTTGACATGTGTATGTATTGTATATGTAAAGATAAACAATATATTTTGCCTGGCACAGTTTAAAAGTGATATATGTAATAACACTATACAAAATTAACAATCTTAATCTATGAAAGGAAATTTTGTTTCTTGTACACTCATTCCGGACTACTGATTGATTTGGTTCATGGTAAATAAATAAAAATAAAAATAAAAACAAATCACAGCAAGTGATTTTGATACTAGTGCAGATGAACATAATTTTGAGATGACATTCATTGTCAGCATGGTACAAAAGAGCACTACATAGCAAATTCCAACTTCTTGTTTCAATTTAAATCTACATTCACAAATGTGAACAACTGACTGCATGGGTAATCTGAAATAAGTGTAACCTGAAAAGTTACAAATTACTTTTGAAGGCTTTGAAGACACTGTTCAATTTGAAAAACACAAATACAATGATCAGACAGCCAGTAGGTTCCTTCAATATTCTGATATTTTTTCAAGATCATAAATTGTTATTTTAAATATATTATTCAATATTACTGGCTTTTAGGACTTTTTCCTGACAAGGCAACTTAACCTTTTCATCGCCACTTCCCCCCTTTTCATCACAAATTCACAAAATAGTCTTGTTTATAATAAGTCTGTACCTTCCTTCAGAAGATTAGAACAAAAAATAGCCAAATTCAAATTTTGTCTGTTGGCTTCAAAATTGGGGTTCATTTCCAGAAATATTGAAAAATAAAAGAAAAAGGTGCAGAAAAACTTTAAGATTAACAATTGCTACCTTGACATTTCTGTGGAGTATCACCTACGCTGCTCCATGCCAGACAGCTCTCACATGTACCAATTGGTGTGAAACAAACCTCATCTGCTGAACAATCATCATCGTTCATGCAAGGTCCATCATTATCAGTGTTCCTTTCTGATATATCAAGAAGTATGACCTTATTCAATGGGTCTACTTGTATGGTTGCAGCTAGGGAAACTACAGACAGCAAACAAACTGATAATTCCAGTACATATAGTATAAACCAATTTGTCTGTAAAACAAAACAAGATCAACATGGTGAGCATAAACAGAATAAATATAAACAGAATATTTATTTAATAATAAGAATAATATTTCATTTGCAGATGAAGATGCAATTTGTGATTCAAATAGAAAAATATAACATTTGTTGACATTTTCTACACTGCTTTCTAAGCAGTTTTGGTGAACACAAAAACAATCTTTGCAATTTTTAAGGGTAATATATATTGTTTTGAATATACAAGATTATTTGTGGGCTTGACGGACGAATTTTGCTTCTTTAAAGTTTGTTAGAACTTTTTAAGTTCGAAGATTGTTGTCCAGCATCACAAAAACAAGTAAGGCAAGTACTATGGCGTAGCCACCGGACCAAAAGACATGGTCATAATGCTGTTAGAATAACAACTACACTGTACATTACGTGGGAGTTGAACAACAAACAAACAGAAAGCACAGGCATCTACGATCATTGATTCCACTACCAGTGGTTTCGCTGCTCTGGTGTTATACTTTGACGATCGGGATTACGTTGATCTGTGCCTCCTTATCCCAATCGTCAAAATAAAATTCTGGAGCCGCGAAGCAATGGCTGTAATCATACCGTCATTATCACGCCTGTTGAGCCCCCAAGTCGATGCTTGCCGATACAACTGCCGAATCAACTTATTGCAAAATATTACGTACCCTTATACCAGCGGATGTGATTCATTCTCACAAGTTTCTTGGCCAACACACCTTTAAGTCTTGAGTTGTTTATGAGCTGAATCATGCCGGAAATAGGGAAAATCCCACTGTGTAACGCCCTCTTAGCTCAGATTATCTTTTTACTTTGTTTTGTTTATTTGCATATAGAACATCTACGAGTAATAATAATAAACTTTATTGATATCGTATCCCTTATAGGATAGTTGAATTACAATAAAGTGTGGATGAAAGAAAAAACAAGAAAGACAATAAGATAAAATATCATAAAAAACAGAAAAAATAAAAAAATAAAAAACCTTGCAGATATGCCTTGATATTGATAATGTTGTTTATTTGGATGAGAATGAAGGCTTTTTCATGTTATTTTCTCTAATTTTGAAACATTCGTATATGTATTTAGCTAGTTTTATAATTGTTTTATGTCATTGTTGTTCATCATAGCTATCATTTTTTCTTCATCTGTCGTGTTTGGGAGTGACATTTTTGACTTAGTGTTTAGTTGGTTTCTTTCATTTTCATATAATTTGCAGTTAAGCAGAAAATGTTTTTCATCTTCAATTTCGTCTAGGTCACACACAGGGCATTTCCTTTTGCATGCATCTATTTTATTGTAGCGACCCATTTCTATTTGTAGAACATGAGCACTACTAATCCTTTGTTTTGTTAGTGCTGATCTATGTTTAGAGTCTTTTATTAGTGAAAGATACTCCTCATATTTTTTTTTTGGTTTTTTCCTTTGTTGTCATCCTGCATTTTTTCTTGACTGTTAATTTTGAATATTTTTCGGAGATTGCCCATAACCTTTTTTGTTATAGAGGCAGCATTATGCAGATGTTGGTTCTCCCACACATTGTTTTCAATTACATATTTTAGTATGCTTTTCACACCAGTTACCCAGTTAGGTGTATTGTTTTTGTCAAGCTCCATTCCAAGTTGATATGCTTCATGAACTAGAGTATTTTTATTTTTAATTTTTTGCCAATAATTTATTAAGTGCTTTATGCTCGTTAGAAGTAGGGGATACCTACCAAGTTCTAATAGACATGCTAAATTACTAGCTTTACAGTTAACTTGTAACACATATTTACAGAATTTGATGTGTAGCTTCTCCATAGGAAGCATATTATTATGAAGATCTTTGGATTGTAGTATGCAATCACTAGCCAATACTTCACTGCAATAGAGTAGGACTGGTTTGATTATGCTGTCAAATAGTTTCAGGTGTGTTTTTATTGGGATGTTATTTTCTGAGTATAATAGTTGTTTCATTTTGAATAGTGTTTTTGTTGCTCTGTGTCCAAGATCTTCCTGTGCTTTGCTGAGTTTACCTGAAGAATTTATTTTTAGTCCTAAATAGGTATATGCTGTTACGTTTTCCAATTCTTGTCCATTTATTTTAAATTTGTTTTTTGATAGCATTTTCCCAGATTTGTTAAACATTATTATTTTTGATTTTGATGCATTGACATCAAGCTTCCACTGTTTGCAATATATTCCTACAGAATCAATGGCATTTTGGAGACCATGTTTTGATTCTGAAAGTAGTAATAAGTCACCTGCATACAGTAAACAGGATAGCTGGTTAGTTAAAAGAGTTGATGGGTTATTTTGTGAGAATTCAATGTGGTATTGGATGTCATTAACATATAGATTGAATAAAAGTGGGCTCAGGTTATCTCCCTGTCTAATCCCTCTGTTTACTGGGAAAGAGGGTGTAAGCCCCGTTTTTGTTTTGACACAACCAAGAGAGTTTTGATAGATTGATTCTATGATATTGTAGAATTTACCAGAGATGTTGTTTTTACGGAGTTTGTAAAGTAAGCCTTGGTGCCAGATTGAATCAAAAGCCTTTTTAAAGTCAATGAAACATGCAAAGATTCGCTTTTTACTTTTTAAATATTTAATCAGTAACTGTTTAAGTACAAAGATATGAGTTGTGTTCACGTTACGCGAAGTACGGGCTAAGATTTAAGCTGATTTAGGCTAATCTAGCATATTTGCATTTTGGCTAGACCCAATTGCGTCCACGCACAGGGAGGGCCAGTCGTTAGCACGGGCTAAGGGGTGCCATTAGTCGGTGACCTTTGGTAAGCCGCTATTTACGAACGAAAAATGGATGACACGCGCGAGGTTCTATTTCTGCTGCTGGCATGTTTCGTTCTAAATTTGAAGCGACGTGCACAGGAACGCGAGAGAGACGGATCCAACTTATTTGGATGCACATAAACAGCATACACGGTCGTAACAGAATACAGAGTTTTGTTAATGCATGTCGTAGACAGCGAACCAAATTTATTTTGTCTACGATTGGAGCTGCTGTACGCTCTACTACTACAGTGACCCGATTAGTGTGGAAGCGAGCGCGGAGTACTGACTGGTGGAATAGTGTCGTTATCCTCGGGGGCGTAGCTACGTCACGGACGTTCTACGTTGCTAAGACGCGCACCACTGTACCACGTATTCGTTGTGTCGTCACCGGAAGCGCTGTCCCAGCACAAACCTCATTCTCTACCATCGGCCCCACGGAGGATGGCGCGTGACCCTTGTTACGCAGGATGGCACAAACCTGTGTCATATGACGCCTTACTAGCCGATTTTGGCTAAAATTCCGCTCCGCCGCCTCTTTACAACAGTGTTTATACGCGGAACTTGATATTGATTTTTACAATTTGGGTTGCCTTTGAATCACATATTTTAGTGAAATATTGTTTATAGAGTGAAATATTATTGTCATACATAATTCAATCTTTGAAACACAGAAACTAACACATAATAACGATAATCAAATTTGTGTTTGAAGTTCGAAAGTAGTTGCGTT